GTGTGTGTGTGTGTGTGTGTGTGTGTGTGTGTGTGTGTGTGTGTGTGTGTGTGTGTGTGTGTGTGTGTGTGTGGGCAGACAGCTTGGGTAACAGTGTTTCAGCAGAGTGGTTTGGATGGATGTTGAGCTTCCTGTGGGCACTTTGGCTCCAACCCAAACACACTATCGGCGTGCGAGTCAGATGGAGCTCAAACTGAAAACAAAACGAGCTCAATCCCAAACCCAAACATGAACGGTACAGAAATTAAACTGATCTTTTTTACAATTAGATTTTACTCTTATTATGCGGCACTGAGGTGAAACAGATTTATGCGTCTTCTAAAAGAAAATGTCTTCTCAGGACCGGGGATCAGAGACCAGGGAGGATGACTGTTTCTATGCAGTAGTTGAGGCTCCTTTTGAACATTTGCAGCAACCTGATATGAGACACGCGGCGAATCCAAAAACTACACCTCAACTTAGACATGCTGCAGTTTTTATTTTAACTACCATTCTGAGGAAAAATATAGACATTACCTATTATATCAAAGTTATATCAAAGTCCAACAAAAGCTTGAATTCAGTGCAAAATTCAAATTCAAAATTAGTGTAAAAATCCATCTGATTTCAACATGATTTATTTCAAATGTGGCTCATCACAGCACGCTTTTAGAGCTCATCTGGCTGAGAATGATGGGCCTCGCATATAAAAGCCACTATGTGATGAGCTGGGAGTGAGAATCTGGGTTTGTGTCCACCCCAGGCTCTTTGCTGCATCCACAGTCTGCAACAAAACCGATGACCTGATGGTCCAGGCCCAATAAAGCTGACTGGCCAGCCATTGGTCTGTTCCTGCCACTGATGCTGTTTCCAATCAGCAAACAGACTGGTACAACCCTGACTAACCAACAGTTTTTCTTTCCTGATGGTATCTCAGTGTTGTATTAAGGCAGCGTGTGAGGCAACTGAAACACAGAGGCTGTTATTAGTGGTGTGGTAAACACAAGTGAAGGTGTCTGTGGTGACGGTTTCATTCATGTGTCTAAAAATGGAGTGCAGACTTTAAAATGTGTTTCGCAGCACACCTGTGACTAAAACAGCAGCACAGATGGTGCTGTGGTAGTTTATGGTGAGCTGATGCCTCTTCTCTCACAGCAAGTGGCAACGAGGCGGAGCCACGACCGAGGCGGCGAGCCCAGGTGGAGTGAAAGAAAAGGACTCAAAGCGACAGCAGCACCACTCGTCACTGTGATTAAAAGCTCAGTGGGGGAAAAGCCATTAAGAGTCCTTTAATAAACCGTGTGATCAACTGAAATATGAAGAAGTGACTTTTCGAGCCGCTCCTGTCTACCACAGGTTTGTTTAACACAGAAACAAAGAACAGGTTAAATAAGTTTATGCTAAACTTTGCTATCCTCTCAGTTTCTAGCAGCGATGCCTGCAGCATGAGAGCGAGGCTGAGCATTGCCGCTCCTACATTAAAGCTCAAGGTACCAGCAGTACATCCTGTAATAGAAATGAGCTTTTCGAGCCTCCCAGATTGACCCGTTTCTCATCATGGCCACAAGATGGTGACAACAAAAATGACCACCAAGGTTTGACCACCAATGTGTGGCTATGAACCACGTTTGATTTAGTCACTCCACTCTTTGCTTCATGTGTCTTTTTTCATTAAAGGCCCAAACAAACCAGGCAGGTACTGTTTGTGAGTGGATTTGTGTTTGGTGGATTCATGAGTGGATCACTCAGCCTGAGGACACGTCTGCTAACAGAACGACTGTTTACATGACACCATGACCATGTTTACGTGTGCTCCAGGCAGCAACGAGGGCTGCTCGGTTTATAAAACAGAGATATAGTGACTACATGTGTAAACATACAAGTGGGATACTCCACAAACCTGATCTCACTGACAGAAGAGCACACATACAAACACACCTGCAGGAACACCTGCAAAAGGTCATCACGTACAGATGACGGGTCGACCAAAAGGAACATTTTAAGGACCAAAATGATCAGTTGGCCCTTCTCCTTGTTCTTTTGCTTGTAATCTCACAGAGTCTGAGTGGTCCTGGTGCCTCTGGTCCTGATCCAGCTCTCCTGCTGAGGGCTGTTAACAACCCTCCTCTTCCTCATGTACTGTGTCCACCGCTGGTTCTTCCTGGTTCGCACCACACATCAAAAAGCTCAGTTTACCCCCCTCCTGTTATTCAGGACTGCTGATTAGTCACAAGCTCATAATTCCCATCATTCAACAAGTTACTATTATAAATACTGTTATTTCTTTAACATAGACTGTCATATATGCTGCAGTTTCTCAACTTCATCTGTTTCTTTTTGGTTCCTGTGAAGCTCCTCCAATCCCTGGAAAAAATACTCCATAAATAAAGAAGATCCCCATTTTTATTTTTATAATACTTCCAGGAGGAACAAATGAACAGCAATGGCCAAAGGTTTTGTGGCACAGGGGGAAAAAAATTTGTGTTTCATTTATTCGCAGCTTCAGTTTTTATTTCTCTTATTATTATTTTTTACATGTTTCTGTGATATAGTGACTGTAGATGCTTATATCAGCTTCTGGAGATTCATCCCTGCCTCCCAGTCTGTGGGCTTCTGCTTGTCCACCTGCTTTTTAAGGACTGACCAACTAAATAGGTTCTAAAAGACCAATTCCAATTCCCGATGACCCAGGAGATATATGGTGATCTTATTATTATATTATTACTATTATTAGACTGTGAAACTGATAAGAAAGCTGTGCTGTGAGCCTAACACAGGAGTCCTTAAAGTCATCATATATTTGCTCTTTTAGTGCCTTTGTGTGCGTTTCTGTAGCTCTTCATCTACAGATTCATACATGGTCTCATCCTACACATTAATATTTATCGGTGATTCTTGCAGGGTTTATGAAAATGCTGTTGAAACACATTTAATGGGCATAAATCTCAGGAACCCGCACAGACATTTGTTATGTCAGATAACACAGACCCTCTGCCTTAACTGTATATAGAACAGCCCCATTTAAGACAGGAACCTCAATAAAGAAATCAATAAATTTGATTGATTATGCCCAGACTATAAACAAATGGAATGAACTGCAGCTTTATATCAGAAGGGGCTGAAAACGAGCTGATAAAATCAAAGGTAAATGATCAGGACGTGCGGCACTAGCAAAAGTGAGGAGACTGACATCATGAGCGGATTTATTTAATCCCAGCTCTATAAACAAGCCTCATCACGACGTTCTTGTAAACGCCTCAAACAGCTACGCACCTGCCGACATCCATCCGACTAATTAACGTGTAACAACAATAGATGCGAGGCTGGGCTGAACGGGATGTACCGAGGCTGTCCGCCCACACGCCCACACACACACACACACACACACACAGTGGCAGGAGTTATACTGTGGAGGATCTTTAACGTTTAACATTAATGAGCGCGGATGCTAAGCCGCAGACCGACCGTTGCTACGTTACCGACACACACCTGTTACCAAACACACCGCCGCCATGTAAGCTAGTTCTCCGAGCTAATAACCTCCACCACTAACTAGTAACAGTTAACACTGAAACTAACCCGCTCATTTACCCGTTAACTGGTTAATTATCCTGAAGAGCAGTCATTAGTTCGTGCCGAGCCGAGTCGGACCAGACGCTACTCACCGTGTATTGTTAACGCCGGAATCTGCTCAGGTTACCGGTTTAATCCAGCAGCCTGTGACCGTTTCAACGTCAAAGACAGCCGTTAAGATCGACGTGGTCGCGAGGATCCTCTCTCACTGACTGAGCTCGCAACCAGCAGCACGCGGACAGTCCGGGGCGGAGCTACGTCAGCGTAAACAACAGGTCACGAGATCAGCCGCCATATTCTCAACAGGTGTCAAAATTTTCACATGCCGTGATCTCAGAGCTTTGTATTCTGATTTAAATATTAATATTTAAATTAATATTTTATATTTTTATTATATTTTATACTATATATGTATATATTTATTATTATCAATATATATAGGTAAATTTATATATATATATATATATATATATAATATATACATACAATATATATAGCATATATATATATATATATATATATATATATATATAATACTTATATAATATATATATATATTATATATATAAATTTTTTACTGGGAAACTTTATTTGTAGTTTTTAATTTGATTAAATTAGCAAATTAGCCAGAGGTCCCTTTACTACGGTTCGGAGCCGCGGACCTTCAGTAACAGTAATAAATCACACGCAATAGTACATTCATGTAGTTGTAAAAAGCATGATAATATATTAAGTAATCCAAAGTATTCAGAATACGTTACTTCGTGATACGTACAATACGTTACAAAATACATTTTGGGGCATGTAGTCTGTAATCTGTAGTGGAATACATTTTAAAAGTAACCTTCCCAACACCGAGTCATGTTGCATGATTTAATTTGATCTGAGCTTTAGCTGTGGCCTCGCATTTGACTCCAGAGTACTTTGGTATAGAAAACAGTTCATGGTCAATAACTGCAAGGTGCCCAAATCACCAACCCTCAGCCTCCGTGCATACAGTTGGTGTGAGGTGTTTGTACTAGATGTGTTTGCTTTACTCCAAGTGTTGTTCTGTGCATTATATGCAAACATCTGCATTTAGCTCTCATCTGTCTGAAGGACATTGTTCCAGAAGTCTTGTGGTTTGTTAAGATGCAGTAAATCTAAGCTGTGCTGCCATGTTCTTTTTAGAGAGACGAGACTTTCTTCTGCAAATCTGCTCAATAAACTGTACTTGTTTAACATTCAGTCTTTCAATGGTCCTGTCCTGATCTTAAACAATTAAATGCGGCCTGGGATCTTTTACATTTCTCTGAGCATTGTATAGTCTGACCTTGAGGGGAATTTGCTGGAACATCGACCAGATTGTGGCACTGTGTTCACACACCTGAATGCTCTTGGGGCGATCGTGGCTCAAGAGTTGGGAGTTCGCCTTGTAATCGGAAGGTTGCCGGTTCGAGCCCCGGCTTGGACAGTCTCGGTCGTTGTGTCCTTGGGCAAGACACTTCACCCGTTGCCTACTGGTGGTGGTCAGAGGGCCCGGTGGCGCCAGTGTCCGGCAGCCTCGCCTCTGTCAGTGCGCCCCAGGGTGGCTGTGGCTACAATGTAGCTGCCATCACCAGTGTGTGAATGTGTGTGTGAATGGGTGGATGACTGGATATGTAAAGCGCTTTGGGGTCCTTAGGGACTAGTAAAGCGCTATATAAATACAGGCCATTTGTACAGCACCTCTCTATCACAGAGGTGCTCCCAAATCCTGATAATCGGTTAATCAACTGACCTGCTTAACTTTTATGGGAGCAGTAAGGGACTACTACATTTTGTACACACCTCTTGAGGAGTAAACAATGACACAGTGTAATATATCACGTGTTGTTCGTTTAAGGTTGGCTTTACCTCATTTCAAGTCCTGAAATAGACACAATGCTTTTTATTATGTCCTGATATATTAAATGTTATTACTCAAAGAGTGTACTTTCTGTTTCATGACTGTATGTAGAGACGTTGGTTTGTTCTTCCTCTTACTGTAAATGTGTTAAAAAAGAATTAAATATTTAATAAACCTTAATAACACACCTGCAATGACTATGTTATATTACGATATATTTATGCCACACTATATTAACAAAAGTATTCGCTTGTCTGCCTTCACATATATGTGAACTTGAGTGACGTCCCAATTTTAATCCATAGGGTCAAATATAATGTCGGACCACCCTTTGCAGCTATAGCAGCTTCAACTCTTCTAAGAAGGCTTTGTGCAGGTTTATTAGAGTTTTTGAACATTCTTCCACAAGCGCAGTTGCCTGCCTCGCAGTCTCCGCTCAAATTCATCCCAAAAGTGTTCTGTCAGCCTGAGTACAGGACTAGGACTCTGTGCAGGCCAGTCAGGTTGTTCCACACCAAACTCACTCATCCATGCCTTTGTGGACCTTGCTTTGTGCACAGTCCTGTTGGAACAGGAAATAATAATCAGTCTGAGACAAAACACAGGATTACATTTTATCTCTCTACCAACTTTGAGTTGGTAGTTTCTTCATTAATGTAGGAGTAATGGAGAGTTAACCAGTGAGGAAGCCAGATGGGATGTTCGGTTTTCTGGCAAGAAGAGAAACAAAATCCTGGCATTTAGTTTCAAACTGAAAAAACAAAAGAATGGTTTCTTTTTGTGCATGTTGTAAAAACAGATGAAATGAAACCAAATTAAAGTCCAAATTATTTCAGCAGCAGCTGAAAATCGTCCAGCACAATGAGATTAAGCTCAAATATTGGTCACCATGCAGAAACAAATGGATCAAAGACCTTAGTTCCTCTGAGCAGCTTTATCCACCAGGACTGTGTTTTTGCATTTATATTCTGATCAGCTGATCTGTCTTACAGGCTGTTGTCCTGGGTTTTTTGGAAATTGTGTGGAGATTACAGGCCTGTTTATCAGACTAATGCTGCAATCCTTACTGTCCCAGCTCGTCTATAAAATCCTGGAAATACCATTTTTATGTTGCTGCTCAGTGGACTGTAGTGTGTAACACAGTCTGTGCCAACAGGAAATGTCCCGGTGGTCTGCGGACGCACAGTGAGACCATCTGGCTGACTGGACCTGAACACAACACTTTCTGTGTCACTGCACACACACTGACACATCTATCAAAGGACAGGTGTCTCAAAACTGTTGCTGTCCTGAATACTTTCACCATTTTTTCTCTCATTGTTAACATGAACACGAGTTAAGTGAAGATCATGGGATGGAAAGAACCATAAAATGTCATCCCGTCCCTTAATGATGAAATCCTGGTCAAATCTAGTAAACTAACTGCTGAAGATTGCAGGCCATTTATATCCCTTCTTCACTCGTGGGTATCAATGACGCTGGTTTGCTCTTGAGATCAGAGCATGACGGCACCGCATACTTCAACAGTGAAGAGCAGCAGATGATGGATGTCAGAGGTTTAAACATGAGGTTTCTCTTCTCTGCTGAGGACTAATCTGTGACCTAAAGTCTGGATCAGCATAATCTGTAGATGCTGTTTGAGAGACGATCACACATTTAACAGTTTCCATCTTTTCATTTCTGTATGTTAATGGGGGTTTTTTTCCCATTCACTCATATTTTTTGTTTAATTTTCCAACCTTTTTATTCTTTATCATTATTACATTTTTGATTTTGCCTGGGAAACCTCTCATTCAGATTAAAGCCTCTGATTTTAGGTTTAAACACAAAGAAAAACCCATCAGTGTCTCAGCGGGACAACAAAAACTGCATGAAACAAACAGGAATATGCTTTGGGTTAGGGAGTAACTCGTGCTCTGTGTGTTACCTTGTAAACATCTCGGGGTCAGTTATGAATATTACATTTGAAATGATAAATATTTGCCAGTTTTATGGATAATTTTCATCTCATATTTGAAGACTGGATTTTAGATTATATTTGAAGCATAATCTCAGCTCTTCAATAAGTATCAATCTTTTCTAATCCGTTCAATTCCAGTTAAAATAAAAAAGCTCTCCAAGCTGTTCTGTTTGTGTGATCTGTATAACTCCTTCGCCCAGCGTGACTCAACAATGCTGGGATACATGTGGCCTAAAAAGTCGTCTCAGTAATGCAAATTATATCTTTAAATAGCTGAAAAGCATCCAGATGTGCTCATTTGTTGAACTAAAAAGTTGACCATAGTAAATAAATCTTTAAAAATAACTCAAACCACAAACAGGAGTAATGAACACGTGGGCACGTATTCAATCTGGAAAGCACTGCGGTCTTTAAATCCAGACACTTGAATGTGATACAACCACACGACTGGGATTTTATACCTTTATTCAAAGCTACAACTCCTCAGAAAAACACATTTCCTCGTGCTTTAAACAAGAGTATGAATATAAAAATGAAAACTTGGGACTGTATATGAAAGAAAGACGTAAACGCCTTAAACCTGCTTTCTGATGACCAGCAGAGGGCGGCGACTGTGGCTGTGAAAAGCTGTCTGATTGGATGAAATGTCTATGAGACGCTTCCTGATATTGCCAATCTCAGGAAGCGCTGTTCTGGTGACTTTATGTTATGTGTCCATCTTTTATATACAGTTCATGTGGTCTGAGTCAGACGCCCCTGCGGGCTGCGATACGTAGCACAGCATCTTTAGCCGGCGTGGTAATAAAACTTTAAAAAACTGAAGAGAAGCAACAGGTTGGATTAAAGACACATCAGCGTTAAGCAGGTAAGTTTTTCAGAGTGTAACGAGACGCTGAAGGAAAAACTGAAAATAACATGAAATGAACAACTGTTTTCCTGGAAAGTTCCACTTTCAAGCCATTCTATCAAAATAAAATCTACAGCTATATACAGTTAGCTTCTTGTTCAAGAATATAAAACTTCATTCAGACATATGTACATTTTAAAGCTGCTGGGGTTTCTTAATCTAACAGTAGGCTGTTTGCTTTAATGGCAGACTGCACCAACAACAGCACCTGCAGTTTTCTCCATCTGATTCTGTGCAGGACAGTCTGGTTCAGAACTCATACATATAAAACTTATTATGAGCCAGCTGTTAAAAAATAAAAAGCCGGGGACATACTCTGCTTTTCCTTATTTCTAGGGCCAGCAGTGGAAGTTCATGTTTAACATGAAGAACAATTCGCTGTGAGCCCACATATCAGGCAGCTTTTTTTCTATCCCTGGATCTGTATGATGTCACAGAAAGAGGATATTACTAATATGGTCATCTCAGGCACATAAGCCCCACCCACCTGCTGTCCAAATCTTCTATTTAAGAGGAGCAACCAATTAGGAAAGAGTAGCCTTAAAGGCAGACGAGCTGAAACAGTTTCAAACAGAGCAGATAAATTATTAACTGTGAATTAAGCAAAGCTAGCACTGAAGAGTCCAGAATAAAAAATGCATCATGCTGTTCACAACCCAAGATATCTGTGTATTTGAACAAACAAATAAATGCAGAAAAGCAGATAAACGAGGACAGGAGGAGGGGAAGAAAACTGTTCCCTCAATGAGGCTTTTAACAGAGAAACACCAACAGGACGCCAAAGCTGACACTGTAATGACAGTCTGCCACCACAACCTCATCTGGGTGACCTCTCACAGCTCGAGCCAGCAGTGAATCATACCACGAATGGATGAATTCCTCCTGCAAAATGATTCCCAGAATTTCCCCGAATAACTTTCTAACAGAACTGAATGTGAGCGGCTCTGCAGTTAGCTGTTTACATCCATTTAAACATGCGTGTTTTTAAACCCTGTTTTTCCACTGAAGACACTGAAAGTCTGGAAGCATTTCGTTTGTTGGACACTTGTAGTGCAAACAGCGCTCAGCAGAGGTGACCAGAAAGAGGTGAGAAACGACAGATTAGTACAAAGAGCTACTGTTTCTGTGCTCTTTATAAGCGGTTCACACCATTTGGTGTCGAGTTTTTGTGCTTTTAAAAGATATACTGTTTGATTCTGAATGAGTAAAAAATGCAGGAGCAGAATTTTTAGTTGTCTGAAACGGTTAAACTGACCGCATCAACTTCAAATTAGCAACTGAAACAGCTCGTGAAAGGAAAACCTCAGTATCTGTTAACCTGCGGCTGATTTTTCCATCTTCCTTCTGCCCGTCTGCTGGTGGCAGTGGGCTAAGTAGGTATTCCGGGCGTGGACTCCCTCTGCAACATTTTCATGACCGGGCTCCTTTAGACGTGGAGGTGCAGCGACTACTCTGAGCTCCCTCGGGGACGCCACAGCCCCTCGTCCGCTCTACGGCTGAGCCCACACGTTCTTTCAGCTGCATGTATCTGTGACATCATTCCTTCAGTCAAAGACCAGGAACAAACCATGGCCCGTGGGACAGATCAAGGCCATTGCTCACCACTGAGTCCCCAGTAGGCTTTGCCTGGTTGTTGCTGCAGTCTGCACAGTGATGACCTCCTGCATCTTTGTTGACTGGTTCAGAGCTTTACGTACATGAAAACTGAACCATATTCAAGATTTGTATAACACCAGCCTAAACATGCCTCACTGTTCACAGTGTGGTACAAAGCCCGCTGCTCCATTCTGGGTTTAAATTATTACAGAAGACAAAAAAGCTTGGAATCAGTCCAATGCTGAGCAAAAAGGCTGAAACCTGAAACTGCTGCAGAGTCCCACAGACGCTCACGAGTCGTCATAATCAGTCGTGACTTTACACAAATGTGTAAACGTCTCTTCATGCTGGAAGTGACAAATAAACTAAAGGTGTTTGGCCTCACACTGGGCATAATGATTATTGATCAATGATTAATTAACCTGTGGTGCTGCCCCACCCCAGCGGTGATGACATCAGTCATCAGGAACCACACAACAATGAAGCAGTGACTTTCAAAATAAAAGTAAGGGATATGTCCTGCAGTAAATTAGTCAGATTAAATATGTGTGGGTAGGAAAATAAGGTGCTTGAAGGGTATCCTTCCTGAGGAACACTGAAGCCGTTTTGTTGTTGCTCCACATCGCACTGATTCCTAACATTAAAAAAAAGGAACCAATGATTTAAAAATAATACAGCTGGCCTTTAAGTCAGCTTGTAGCGTTCTTCCTCTCCTCATTGGTGAATAAAATGATGAAAAAGAGAGAGAGAGAGAGAGAGAGAGAGAGAGAGAGAGAGAGGAGCTCTGAGAGCTGCTGCGACTAACTAGCACTAGCTCAACTGGCAGTTAGTGGTCACCAACCCTTAAGAACCTCCTGGTCTCACCAGACTGTAAAACCCTCCAAGAGTCTTTCAAACAAACAATTATTAGTACTGGCAATATTAGTACAATTAGAAAATATACGATATCCAAATCCTTTGTGTGCGTTGTTACACTTCGATGCTGGCTGGCAGAAAAACAACGAGCTGATGGCAGACGACGCGTCCGTTCAGCCTCCACAGAGACAAACATCATCCTGTCCCGATGAGACGGATGACAGCTGATCAATGACCTAACTCGTCCTCGCCTGGTGCTCACACGGGCTCTCAAGTCCTGCTGGAGGCGTTTCAGGAACAGTCGCGTTGTATTAAAAACAAAACAAAAAAAAAAACACCATCTTGTTGCAGAGCACCTTTTCTCCACCACAGGGGGGCGCTGTCCTGTAACTGCAGGGAAACAAACCACAGTCAACTCAGAGTTTCACGCTCTTTGTCTCGTCAGAGTTCAGAGGGAGGGCGGTCAGCGGCAGACCGACAGGCGCCTCACGGTGCACAGGTCACACAGCAGCCGTTTGATTCGCTGTTTGAGCTGCGGGAGGCGGGACAGAGGGTCAGGAGGCTCGAGCTCGCCGGAGTGGTCCAACCAGGACTCTAGAACTGAAGACAGAGAAGAGCGAGTTTTACAACCAGCAGCGAGCACATGTGGACACAAACTAACACCGAGGTGTAACGTAGGAGCACAGCACGACTCTGACGCCTCATCACGTCCAACCCAGCGTTGCTGTATCACGCTCAGGCACGCGCTGCTGTCAGTCACACAAGATACGTGATGTACAGCAGTGAAGCGAGACCTCTCTAATCCCAATTAAATTAAAGGCCAAACATGCAATGAAGATGCGATAGATACTTTTTCACAATAATGTCAGTTCTAAATAATCAATACGGTGAAAGTGGAGCAGCAGGCAGGAACACGGCGATCAGGATGCATGAGCTTCACGACCCCTCCAAGTGAAGCGACGCAAAAACCGAACCTTGTCTCTTCTTCCTCCCACGCCTCAGTAATTATTCTCCTCCAGCTAGAATGGCTCTAACTCGCGGTGGATAATTACTTACTTGCTTCTTTCTCTAAATATTTCTCTCTGCTTTCGTAACCAGACGAAGCCACCGTGACTATTTTAATAACACTGAATGATGATTAATGTGGAGTGTTGTGTGCAACTGTCTTTTACATTCAACGTGTGCGTTACCGTCCAGCTCTCTCTCGATCACGTCCATCCTGGCGCTGATCTGCTGGTGCAGGGACTCGATGTGCTCCAGCAGGTTCAGCTGACACTCGGCCACCGACGCCGCGCGAGGCTGTGCTGCGCACGTCCGAGTGTGCGCCTGCTCGCCGCCGCCTGCGTGATTCTCTGTTTTTATGTTGTGCACATCTGTGAGTGCGGTGGCGTCTCTGTCTGCGGCGGTGTGAGCTGCGCTCCTGTTGACATCTTCAGGTTTTATTTCCTACACGGAGAGAATGACAGATGCTTTTAACAAACAGCAGCCAGAGACACACGAAGACTAATTCGTTTTTCAGTGAATTTGACAAACTTGGAGAGTAGTTTGAATAACGACACTCTGCCAATGATGCTTGAAAATTCCCTTTTCTGGAGAAAATGCGGCCCCCCCTCGCCCCCCACAGAACCCCAGGTCCTTGTTTCTGTTACATCACAGTGTTAAACCTCTTGCAGCTACAATACAAGCCGTGATGCTCAGAGTTGGTTAAACAGATAATAATGCTGGCTTTGGATTCTGAGTCCTGGAGTTTCTGCTGTATTTAGAAAGTTCAAAGAGATCAGCTGATTCTGAAGGGTCAGGTGGACATTTTTCAGTTTTTATCGATTTTCATCTAATAGCCGAACTGAAATTAGAATATTATTAGATTACATCTCCATTTTATATTTCAGTAACTTTACAATTTAATATGAAATTTTGGTTTTACAAGTCATGGCCTGCTTATTCTGTAATAAATAAATAATTATTTTCTTTTTTACAGGTGATCTCCTTAAGATTTAGATAAAAATTCAAAGACAGTTTATGGCCACAGCCTCTACTGCAGGAAAAACACACCGGTGGCAACAGACTCATGAGCCAATCACAGGAGGAGCGTACAATCCCTCCACAGGCTCACCTGTCGAAACCTTTTATTTCCGTGACCCTCTCTGGATGTAAGAATCTCTCTTACATCTCACATCTTGTCTTCTGGTCCACTTAAATAAATTCACTGTGATCTGCTCGTTTCACTTGTTGATTCTCCATCAATCGTTTATTTTTAGCTCCATTTCGTTGCTACTAATGATGTATTCTTTCTATTCTACAAGAATTCTCCAACAGTTAAGAGAAATAAAACAATTCAGGATCAGAAACTGGTCTGAAAAACGACAAAGTCCCCATGAAATCAAACAGATGACAGGTTTTCATGATCTACCCGACGAGCCTTACGTTTGTAAAATCTCTGGCTGTGTGATTGTGCAGAGGAAGCCTGTTGCAGCTTTTCTGTTGGTGTATCTTCACAGAGTATCCTCTGCAGCTCTCGCTCCCCCCCCTCACACTCAGTAAAAGGTAAAAATAGTTCCACATTCACCAGAATGAGCTTCTAACTGGTCTTCACTGGTCTCATAGCAACAGCAGGAGCTTAGCGCTGCGAGCGTGAGGCGCTGCTTCTGCTCAAGGTCTCAGTGAGCCAGGCTTTGTTTTTTTACTACACCTAAACCTCCCAACAGCTGAAGATTCACGCGTCTCAAATTCACAGCAGAGAAGAGCTTTGAGGAGACAGAAAAAGAGATTCATCGTCTTTGCTCAAAATAATCAGCTCGGATTTTATGATGTTCAGCCTTAATGCAGGAGTGAAATCCGAGCTTAGAGTTTATTGCTCATGTACGACTCATTCGGTCGTCCGTTTCCCCCCCATCAGTGTGAACAGCACAAATAAATGAAAATGTTTTGTGTCCTGTTACCTCGGGCAGTGGAGCGAGTTGGTGAGCACTTGTGAACGAGTGTTTCGGCTTTCTGAGTAGGAAACGTGTGAAGTTAAAAGGCTACACGAGTGTCTGCTGAGTCTCTACCTTCTCCTCGCCACTGCGCTCTTGCTTCACCGTCACCATCGGCCTCTCTTTCTCCTGCTCCTCTCCTTTTTCCCATGATGCTCCGGGCTTCTGATAGCAGTGCTCGCTGCTGACGTAGCAGACGGGCGGCTCTCCTCTCGGGCTGGACGTCAGTCTGTGCCTCTCCTCCTGCTTCCACGGTGACCTCCACAGCTGCTGGTCGGGGTGGGACGGCGAGCTGCGGGGAAAGACGGCCACAGTCAGACCGAGCTAACGTCTCTGCGGGCTCGAACAGATGAGCCGAGCCGCCGGAGCGATCGCACTCACCGCAGCAGGCTGATTTTGAGTTGCAGGGCGCTGAGGACCTGGCTGATGCCGTACGTGTGTGCCAGCAGGTGGCTGGTGTGTGAGATCTTGGAGGCGTTGACCTCCGAGTAGTTCTCCTTCACACACGACAGGCCAAACATGTGACCGGATTTCAACAAGTCGGGCTCAGACCGGAAACGCTGAGCACACCGCCAACCTGGACCAATGAGGATTACAGATGAAAACAAGATGAGAGGAGAAGCACGAGCACCACACAGGAACCCACAGAGAGCCAGCAGGGCTCTGAAAACGGCTTCAGCCTGAGCTGTGGAGCTCGTGTCGTCGAAGCCTCACACACTCACTGAGGTACAAACACACATAAGTCACATGTCCTTCTCCAACCAGTCAGAAAAGGTTACAATACAAACACACACTTTGACTTTCACCTAAACACAGAGAGCTATCCTACGACCACTCGACAAGGGGTCGAGGAACTTTTCCAGGCCTTTGCTGTATCATATAAAATGCAAGCTTTGAGTTTGATATTACACCAACTATCAAATAATCCACCTTTACCTGCTTTCTTTCACAGGCTCGGCACAGCAGTAAGTGCTCACAGTGTGAATCCTACCTGCGGTCTGTCTGCAGTAGTAGCAGATGTAGTTGTGTGGGACGTTGTCCTCGTATAAACCCATACAGGTCCCGTGCTGCCAGCACAGACACGACTCGCACTACAGACACACACAGAGAAAACACGTCACAGCAGCATCACGAAACAATCCTGTGTTTCTGAGCATTCCTGACACAAAGGCCTTCAGTGACAAAAGAAGTCCTAATAAAGACAAAATTTTCACATTGAACAGAACCTGATGGACACGAATGATGTGAAATATTTCCCATGATTCATTTCTCTCCTTTCAGACTTGTTTGTCAGTTCTGTGGATTCATTTTAAAAGCAGCTACAGACAAATCATTCCTGTGTGTCTCACCTGGATCATGAAGTCATTCTCCTCGTCCACCTCGCACACACACCTCACCACCTCACACTCCTCCGTCTCCGTGCCAACAGGCCAGGAGGGCGTGTCCTCTCCACTCTCTGCTGTCAGCGTTGACCAATCGCTGCCATCGTCGGCTAAAAGTACAGAAACTCGGTTTTTGAATTTTTACATCGTATCAGTGTTTGTGATATTAGTGTGTGTGTGTGTTTTCCCACCTTGCACGTGTGTGTTGTGATGTTCAGTTGAGAGCTTGAGAGTGATCGGAGGTCTGTCTGAGCTCTCATCGTCGCTGCTGCAGAAACCTGATGAGAAGAAGAGAGAAGCAACAAAATGATTGGACGCTCGGTGCTCGCATGGACGCTGTCAACCTTGTTCTGGTGCTCAGTAACTCACAGTAATGACAACAACTAATGAGAAGCAGCTGAAAAAGAGGAGTTTTAAATCACAAACAGGTCGTGAAGGTGCTTTAGCTTCGTCTGCAGCGTTTCCAACAAAACATAAATGTTTTTACTTTCCCGTTACACTCGTGTTTGTGAGCAGCCAAAACGCCCTCAACAGCAAATCTGAGCCAAACACGTTCATTTTCTGCAGTGTTACTAATGCGCAGGTTCACACTTCTGTCAGATGGGACTCTATTTAAATTTGAGGATGCAATAAGTGCAATAACAGATAAATGTGAGTTGAAGATAAATAATAAATAACATTTTATTTATGTAGCACCTTTCTAGACAGAATCACAACGTGCTGCACATAAGATAACAAATAATAAAAAGGTAAAACAGACAATATAAAACAGGCAGAAATTTAACTAAAAACTGTTTTAAAAGGTGAGTTTTGAGTTGTTTTTTTACAAACAACGACCGAGTCCACAGTCTTAATGTCTGAGGGAGAGAGTCCACAGTGGCTAAAAGCTCTGTGACCCTTAGTTCTCATCTTAGTCTGTTTTATAGTCCTGATCAGATGACCTCAGGGACCTGCTGGGGACATCGGGCTGTAGCGGATCGGAGATGTAAGCTGGTGCCAGTCCATGCAAGGCTCTAAATGTCAAGACCAGGATCTTAAAATGTACTGAAAGTCAACAGGAAGCCAGTGTAGCTGAAATGGATGGAGACTGCATGATCTCCCCGTGTTTGGGTGGGTCCTGTCTTCCTCACAGTCCAAAGACATGCAGTTAGTGGGGTTAGGTTAATTGGTGATGCTAAACTGGGCACAGGTGTGAATGTGAGTCTGAATAGTTGTTTGTCTCTGTCAGCCCTGCGACACACTGGTGGCCTATGCAGGGTGTACCCTGCCTCTCGCCCTGTGGAAGCTGGGACAACCTGACCTCCCCCATGACTCTGACTTAGATAAGTGAAAGAAAATGGATGGTAAAATATGACACTTCTACAGCGAACTTCAAACTGTTAGATGAGAGCAGACCTCTGATTTTAGGCTCCAAATATCTTACAAACCTGTTAATCTCAGTTTAAGAAGCTCAACAGACACAATGAGTCTCACCCGTCTGACTTTTCTTCTTCTTCTTCTTCTTTTTCTTCTTCTTCAGTTTGATTCGCAGGAAGTTCTTCCTCTCCTTCTTATCCAGTCCTCCCGTTTTCTCCTTCCCCCCATCCTTCTTGGCTTCTACTAACAGGCACACATGAGAGAAATGACACCAACGCTGCTGGTTGGCCTGGTTTTCTGCTCCTATGTGCTGATGTTGTGCTCTGCTCTGTACCTGTTCCCATGATGCCATGTTCTCTGCTGGTTGAGTTCTCACTCCTCCTGTCTGACACCAAGTCGCCGCCCTCTGAAAAAGATCTCTTCCTCCTAAAAAAAAACAAAAATAGCTCCAGTCAGCGTTAAACTCACCGCCCTCTGCTCACCGTATCTAACCCGTGGGACATAAAGCGACCTCACGGCCTCCTCCGCGCTGCTTTGCTCCTCCAGCTGCTGGTCGGTGTGGTAGTACTTGATGTGGTAGTGCAGCAGGCTCGCCTTCCTGAATGACTTAGTGCACCCGGGAGCAGGGCACTTGAAGGGGTTGTGGTCCAGCTCAATGGAGAGGATGGGTGGAGGCTGGTTCTTTATCACCCTGTACACTGAGAGGAGAGGACACACCGAGTGTTTCTAACTGCTGTGGGACTGGATTAGGAAACCTCAGCACTTTCATGCTTAGAAAGAAGAAGGGAGCAGCTGCACACTGATAATATGTCTTTGTATTGTAACCCCAAGCACGAAGAGAGGACAGGAAGCTACGTTAAATGTCTGCTCAGAAGCACAATTTGTCAATTTAAGACGGCATCTAAAATTCCTCTGGAGCTGAAGAAAAACCACAGTTCCACAAAAGTTTGGATGCTGTGCAATGATTTGCAAATCTTATGAATTTTATTCACAATAAAGCAGAAAACAAGTTAAATATTTCAACTGAGACATTTTACCATTTCATTAAATGCTTCAGACAACAAAACGCTGGAGAAGTGAGTGACAGTAAGAAAGGACCAGCTGGAGGAACGTGTTGCACCTCATCTGGTTGATTAGCAGCAGGTCGGTATAAAGAGAGGCAGACGTTCTCAGAACTAAAGAGGTTCAGCAATCTGCAAAGAACTGTCTACAAATTGAACAATTTCACAATAATGTTTCTCAATGTGAGATTGTGAAGACTTTAAATGTCTCATCATCTACAATAAAATAAAATCATAAATTATTATTATTATAGATTATTTGGAGAAGTATCTGCGTGCGGATGGAGGCTGAAATTCAGCATCGATGCTCGTGATCTTCAGGCAGCAGGTTAAAGCTCCATCACGCAAACACGTCGCCACATCTAAACACGGTCAGAAACAACGTCGTCTTCTCTGAACCAAAACTCACAGAAAACTGTTGCGATGTCAGACAAATGTTTTAATGACTTTTGGAAAAAGAGAAGGGAGACCCTGTGGCTCAATATCAGCGCTCAGTTTAAAAGCCTGCATCTCTGACTTCTACATCTTCTTCATGTTTCAGCACAACAATGGTAAAATCACAGAAAGCATCGATTCCAACAGCACGGCTGAAAACATTTGGAGCATGGTGACACCAAAGAAGAGCCAGGACTGCTGAGCAGCTTTAACCTAAAAATGGGACAAGATTCCTCTTCCAAGAGTCCAGCTGCTGGTCTCCTTGGCTCGGAGATGTTTAAGACACAGAGGAAACATCACCCTGTACATGTTCTCTTGAGAGGCGTCGCTTCCATCAAATTTTCTCAATTAAAACATTTGATATCCTTTCATGTTCAATCTGTTCCCGCCCCATTACAAGTGTGGATTGAGCAGCCGACAGTCTTTATCTGTCCTACTTTTTTCATTAGACAAAAAAAACCAACTTTTAAACTCTAAACTTTTGTCCCCAAAGTTTGATTCTGTTCATCTGGTCGCAGCAGTCCTGGGATTTACTTACCTGGATGATTGAGCATGCATCGAGACGTTCTAACCTTTTGTGTTTATGTGGAGGACTGAGGGACTTACATGGTTCTCTGCTGAACTTGTGTGTGGTGGGAAGGTGAGCCTGACGCTCCAGCAGGACATCTGAAACAAAGATTAAATAAAACAAACAGGTCAAGTACGTTACAGAAGCATAACCACTTACTGATCCAAATAGGAGAAGCACCTGCGAACAAAGTTAAACTGTGTTTCATCTGTTAAGAACTGGATTTTCTCACATTCACCGTGGTTTTATCCTCGGGTTGGCTTGAACGTTCTTACCGGTCAAAATTAAGATTTTACTTTATTATATGCTCACATACACTAGCAGTATGTACTCAAAGTACACCTGTATAATATTCTACAGCACATTAGTCACGTTCAATGTGTGACACAAAAGAATTAATATTTAAGTCAAAATTAACATTTTATCTTCACTTTGGAGTAGAGGTCGTCTTTAAGCTGGACAGAAATAGTGATTTGACTGGTATGAAAAACATGTCACAGTTTTGTCCATCTCACCCAGGTCTAATAAGAACTACGTCTGCTGTCCTCCTGAGTGAGACAGTCCCCACAGACATCGTCTTAAAGCTAAGAGAACCATGTAAAATGTGCACATGTTCTGTGGAGTTCTCATGTTTGGACCAATACACGCATGTCTATATCTGTTTACAGAAATAAGTGTACCTCTGTCTATGTGGGCAGGGTTAAGTGCTGCTGCTGCTGGGGGGGTGGAGTCAGCTGTGATTGGCTGATTCTGAGTTCCACTGCTTCTGCCTGGAAGAGAGACAGACCATTGTTAACCATTTTAATTTGCTCCTGCTGACGAGCTGCAGAGCCTCCAAACATCTGGACAGATCTACAGTGTGCGGGCGCTTGGGGTCAGAGGTCATCTTACTTACTGTCATCTGTTTTCTTCTTGGCAGGTGGATTTGAGGATGAAGGTTCTGCCTTCCTCTTCCTGTCCTCCTCCCTCTCCAAAGCTGCATCGGTCTCTTCTGTTGTCACCTTCTCATCTGCCTCCTCTTCCTCCTTTTTCTCCTCCTCCTCTTCTTCTTCCTGTCCTTCTCCTCCTTCCTCCTCCTCACTCTCACCTTCCTCCCATCCCTCGCTTCCCACAGCACTTTTCTCAGATCTGGATTTCTAAGAACGACAAACAAACAAAAACAAACACATTAAGGATCAAAGACGTTGTGATTGTGTGAAACACTGAGAAGACGAGGACCAATTAGAGAGAAGCATTTCTTACTTCCTGGAAAGGTTTGACTTTGGTGGGCTTCACAGTCCGAACCACGCCATCATAGAATCGCACTGTGTAGGATTCTGACACAGGAAAACACAAACACCAGGTTTAGATCAATGATGTTCCAAAAACAGCCGATTCGCTTCAGTAACAACAGGAACGCAGCACAAACAACCCAAAGACGGACAGCGGGAGTCAAACAGCATGAAGGGAGGACATAAAAGACGCCCATCCATTCACTGAGCTTATCTGGGTCAGAGCCGACCGAACCACTTCAACCGGCACCTTTTGATGCAAAGGAGCACGGCTGTGCTCTGAGCTCTGTCTGAAGGGAGAGCCCAATTTTTGCCACTTGAATGCACAATCTTATTTTCTGGTAACTACCCACAGCTCGGGGTCACATATGAGAGAGGGAATGTAGATCAACCAGTAAATTGACAGCTTCGCCTTCAAGCTCAGCTCCCTCTTCACAACAGACCGGTCCAGCTGCACCAGCCCTTCTGTCAATCTCCTGCTTCAATCTCCACCTAAGTGCCTCAAACAAAGCCCAGAGATACCTCACCTCTCCCACCTGAGGCAGCAACTCGACTCCAAACCAGAGTTTTTAGTATGAATTAATCAGGATTTATTTGACTTTTCTTTAATGAAAGGCTTTTAACAGTCCAATGTATCAGCTTCAACTGTAAAAATAATGTAAGCTGCATTATATCATTAATATCATTGAATCAGGAAAACCACTGAGGATTAGCCGACTTATATTGTAGAGTAACTTAGTGTAATTAATGAACCCACGCACAATCCTACCTCCATACTAGTCAAGTTACTGGAACAAGAAGCACAGAGAGGTGGGCTGAAATTTTGGGCCTCTCACCTCATTTTTTCCCAGTATTATTAAGACCTCCTTACTTCTTAGGTGCAGAAGCAAGCTAAATCTGAATCATTACGATATATACTATGAAAGAAAACATATGCATGGGTCCATTGAATAGCCAAAAGTTAGTGAGGGGTGCAGATGGTAGGTGCTTAATGATTTATCAGACAACCTTGTGATAAACAGCTGCACTGACCTTTTTCCCCCCCCAAAATCAGTAAATCAACCAGCAGTAAAATACAGTAGAAAAACAACAGAGGTAAAAGGTCACAGCTGAACCTCACCGTCCTTGTTGACGCGGAGGATTTTGGCCGGGTAGAAACGACAGTCGGTCCAACAGGCCAGAACCTTTGAGCCTGAAACAAACGTCTGAGTCGCAGAGAAAACGTCTGTTAGCTTACACAGTCAACATTCTCCTAGCTTCAACTTATTATTGTCATAATCTTTCTAGTCTTCTTGACCAACATTATTAAAACACACTAGGGCTGCCACAAACGATTATTTTGATAGTCGACTAGTCAGATCATGCATCCATTGGCTGTAAAACTTACAGCTTATTGCACCAGCAGCATCTGCTCTTATATAACTATCATTAGCTTGCAGCTTTAAGTGTTTAAGGTCTGTGCTAACTAAAGACAAGATGATAGTTTATTAAACTTTTAATGAATTTTGCAGATTGTTTCGGTGGAGTTTAATAAACTCAGCCGTCTGCTCCTTGCCCTCTAAAATATAACAGGTAGTGAAGGGAGTCTGGTGTTTTACGCCGGCTCTAGTGAGCCTTGAACCCTCCAGCTACCGAGCGGGTGGGTAGCAGACGTCTCCGAAAACGTCGGGGCACTTTTACAAATTTGTGATGTCTTGATAAACCGAGCAGACATTTGAAGTTTGCAAAGCTACATTCTCGCCTAGAAATGTGTTAAAAGTTTATTTTGTGACCCAGAAAGAGTAATATTAAAACTAAGTAGCTGCTGCCATTGTTGGAAACAGGAATTGGCTGGGTCGCGCTATGAATTCTGGGATCATTTGGGCCACGAAGGATACATCCGACTCATCCTTCAAATTCGGGGAAAAGGAGGACGCATTTGGAGAAATCTTCAAATTTGGAAAGCCTTCGTCGCGTCCCTGTAACGTAATCAAACGCTGGCTCCTAACGATGCAGCCCGTAAATTTGGACAACAGCTACGATACTGGAGACAGCTTCTTCTTCTTCTTCGGGGTTTAATGGCAGCTGGCATCTTTGTACATGCAGTGCTGCCACCTTCTGTTTCAGTCCGCTATTACACTCTTAAATCCTAATATTCATTCCTGCGTCTTTCCGGATCTTACAAAGCTTCAAACGACGCGTCGACTATTAAATTTGTCATCGAAATTTTTGATAGTCGACATAATCGTGACTAGTCAATTAATCGTGGCAGCCCTAAAACACACACCCAGTTTCTGCTGCTCTGTCCACAGCAGCTGCTTCACTGTCAGTCTGTATTATGAGCCTAACCTCCTCAAATGTATTTAAAATGACAGCCTCATCGTCTGTCCACGTCCTGACTGATGGTGGGGTAAATGATAACAGAAATATATTGTGGATACGATGAACCAAGTTGTAGTACAGGCTCTGATATTTTCACATTTACTTCAAATGCAGAGTATCTAGGATTTATATGCGGGAATTAAATCTATTATTTCAGTTCATGCATCTTAGAAAAATTAAATCTTATTCAGTATCAGCATCCCTGCCATGACACTGATACCGATGTTTTAAAAACTATTTAAAAAGAAACATCTGTGTACGTCTAACGTGTTCTATACCGGCTGTGATCGCGTTGGATTCAGGCCCTGCCTCCTCAGGCTGACTCGCTCCTTCGGCCGCAGGTACGGTGAGTTCCACTGAAACCACTCGTCATGGCGACGGCTCCACTGCAGGTAGTGGATCAGGACCCGCTCTTTGTCATAATCAATCTTCTCAATGGTGGCTGTGTACCTAAAAGAAGGACAAACTTTTAGTACACCATTAAATTTGAAGTATGTTCTCCCAAAAATCTTTATAATTTCCACATTCAAAATTAGCTTTTGTTTAGCTACAAATTAGAGGATATTTACGCACCACAGGAAAGGTTGGGCTTTTTGAATTCACACATGAGCACAGCTGGTTGCATATCTTTAAGGCAATGAGTCAGTGTTACTTCATTTAATATAAGTCTGTTCCTTTTGCTTTTTTTGTTGTTATTTGGTGGATTAAAAATCATAAAAAAGTTAAATACTTTACTAAAATCCTGGAAAAAAAATCATCACCAGTATCTGAAAGTTTCCTGTATGTTGGCTGAACTGCTGTGGGAACTTAAATGAATCATCCACTCATCGGATTTCCACAGACCAGACTCATAACAAAGGGACTATTAAGAAGTCGCTAACCCACACTTTACTTTAAAAGCTTGAATGAGTGGTACATCATAACAGCAGAAGCTCAGTAAAACAAACAATTAATTTTTGGTATTTTGAGTGTGTTAGTGCAAAGAGGGTGGACATGAGTGTCGGGGTGATTTGTGACAGAAGGAGAGCAGCAATAGTGAAAGGAAAGGTTTAAAAGATTGTAGTGAGGCCCATTGTGATGTTTGGTTGTACAGGAGGCAGAGCTGAAGATGTTCAGATGTTGACTAGGAGTGAGCAGGATGAACAGGATTAAAAATTAGTGCATCAGAGGGAGGGCTCAGAGTCAGGGAGGAAAGGCTGAGGTGGTTATGATGTGTGTAGGAGAGTGAGAGTGGATATCTTGGGCAAAGGCTGTTGAATATGGAGCTGGTGGTTGGAGTAACAGAGGAGGATGCAGGGACACAGTGAGATGGAGGCAGATCATCTGCTGTGATGACCCCTAAGGGAAAGAATAAGTGTGTGTGTGGAAGGTGGTGGTGGGAGGAGTCTTCTGACCAGTTCTTGTGGTGGTCTCGAGCTTCTAGCTTGGCTCCGACTTCAAATGTGATGCCTGATCGGTCCGGAGGTGTCTTCATCTGGTACAAAAACACAGGAAGTGTTGATGTGAGCATTTTCTGTCATTTTACTGTGGAGAGTTTATTTGACAGTTCAATATTTTTAAGCCATTTTCTTTTGTTTTGATGGAGCACAGCGGTTATCTTCAATGTTGGATATAAATATTCTATTTGCTATGTTTCATTATTTGTGGAACAACAAGTGTAAACGGACAAGGTGAATAAAAACTCAAAGGCGGTCCATTCTAATAACTTAAAAACAGAGTATAGGTTGAACTAAGCAAATTCCTAAATAAACTCAAACTCTAGATATGTCAAAGATTTATTTTCTTTACAGTTTCCCCCATATTGTATTTATTATCTTAACAAATAAATGTTTGAATTTTCTTTTTTCTTCTATTTTTGCAAACTATTGTTGTAAGTTAAAAAAAATAAATAAGCAAGAACACACAAAGGTCAAAGGTCGCGAACGCTACTGTACGTCACGTTGCGTGATGACGGCATACATATGATGACGTTGCGCCCGTCTCTGATAACGGTTGCAGCCCAACTTTTTTTAGTGTAGTTATTATCAGCTTTCCACGGGTGCAGTCTGAATTTCGACTGAACAAATGTGCGAATGTTAAACTCGAACAGTTTGTAATGAATGAAACAGGCATTTTTTGACTTTCCGCTTGATATTCCTTAGCTTTCTTAGTAGAAGAAGATAATTGGTCTTGAAGACTCCTAAGGACGCCTACTCTAGATTTTATTGGCTGTCTCGGTCGTCAGTCGCTCTAAATGTCCCTCCCCTGTCTAGCTTAACAGATATTTGACAGCGGCTAAGATGCTAATGCTATCAATGTTAGCTCTAAATATTAGCACAGAATGACACCAGACGAAGCGGAAAGTACTTTAAAAGAACACTTCAGTAAAAGACACCAGCGTAAGAGAAGATACAGTCGCATGTTTAAAGCTGTCCTCTGCGCTGGTGCAGTTCAGCGGAGTTGGATCGCCTCTCCATTGACTGTGAATACAGAAGCTAACACAGCTAACAGTTCGCTGCTGCTGAAGCAGCTTAGGCTGACAAGTCTCACTGACCGCTGCGAGCAGCCGCAGGCCTCCTGTCGGCCAGCGGAATATTTAATAAAATGTCTCTGCACTTTAATTACAAACATGAGCGTGGAATATGTAAACGAGAAACATAAAAGCTTGTTTACCTCTGACGTTACTTGTTCTCTGCACTCCTCATACTGTGATGACTATAGAGCGCATGCGCGAAGGGGGCCGAGTTTCTGGCAGGGATGGGACGCTTGAAAAGCGTTTCTTCGCTGTGTCGAGCCTCCGACGCGATGTTTCAAAATACTGCACCGAACACAGAGATCACATGACCACGAATAAACGAGGCTTTGGTGCCCCAGTTCCGACAGGTGGTGTACCTGCTGCTTCCGGGCACTGCGAGGCGTCAGGATTCACTTTTTTTTTAATGAGCCAGAGTCATTTGTAATTACTGAATTAATGTTTTTGTATTCATGACACACGCGTGTGTAACAGAAAACAAGGCCCTCTCTCTCTTTATTATTTTCGTTGTGGTTAATGGAGACCGATATTATCTAATTACTTAAACACGGGAATCCACAGAGAAAGAGACTCATTAAAGTATCTCAGTAAAAAAACCTCCTTTTTGCTTTCAAGGAGAAATAAAACAGACAGAAATGTTCGACTCTGACTCCGTCTGTGCTCTAATTTTATGTTTTCTTCTTTCAACAGAAAATGTTATTTGCAGGATTGAGTGACGTCATCCTCCTTGTAACTCCCATAAAGAATTTATTTATAGTGTAAAAGAAATGTTAGAAAAACACATGAATACAGGTGACCCACTTCTTAACGATTTTCACGACATGCGTTTTTTTCTTAAGTCTCACTGACGCTTCTGCTGCGAGTATCTCATAAACAGCATCTCCAAGATGTGGCGATAGTAAAATTGTCCAGCAGGTGTCACTGTGGAGATGTTTTCAGATCGTCTCGAAGCCTGAATATAATTCCAGCACACATGCGTGGCGTGTTTCATGTTTCATGAAGCCTCGCTTTGCACATCACGGCCATTAACCAGCACACAGTGAGGTTTGGAGAAGAAGAGACGTGGCTTCAGTTACAAGTTCTGCCTATTTATTAGAAGAAATCAATTAATTACAAAAGAAAATAAGATATGTTCAATAACACTTGATGGCATCCATAAAGAAAACCGAGCTAAGCCTGAAGTTGTTTAATTGCATATCATAAGTATTACTGTGTCAACGACAGGGCAAAGTAAACAGTAGCAAAAATCTTATTGAAAATCATATCAGACTGTGAACTTCTGGGACTAAATGCACTTTTCACACACAGAAACGTGCACTAGCAATAAACCTGAGATAAAACCTGCAAGTTAGGACAGTAACTTGGACATAACCTGCAGAGTAGATCAAAACCACAGCTAAGCAGAGCATAAGAGACAGCCGATGATTACATGGGAGCACAGTGGAGTGAGCACTGAAGTAAATGGATGTGACAAGCATGCAAAAATGAGCTGACCTGGCATGTTCTCATTAGTCTTGTTGCAAATTAAAATGATAAAAAAAAATGCAGTTCACTAATGTTCACTTGAGGCTCCAGTGAGTCAACCATAGACTTGATGTCCAACTTTACACCGGAAATAAACACGTTTTACAAGGGTGACAGACAGAGACCAAGACGTTTTTGTCTTTCTATCTGCAATTTCCTCCTTTATAACAAACATTCAGGGAGTTGTTTGTTTTTAAAACTTAACCTATTAAGTTGTATTAAGGCTTAAAATATGCACATTTATGGGTGTAGTTGCTGTGAATTTCCAGGGTCTGTAAAAAGACTGAAGTCTTCAAGTACAAAAACAAACCGAGGTGTGAATCCAGAGAGTCTCATGTGTGGTGTGTGAGTGTAGAGTAGGTCTGGTCCTGGTCCCTGCCGGCTGGATCGAGGCTCTGGTAGGTCGAGTCTTCACGTGTAGAACCTGGAGTACAGTTCTCGTAGTGGACGTCCTGAAACAGAGACAAACTGTCTTCTTCACATAAAAAGAAGAGACTCTGACTTGGTTAAATCATTTGTGCTGGTAAATATTTCCACGTTGAACCTCTCAGACAACAGTGTCTCTGTTTGTTGTTGGAGTCTCCGTCTGGGCGGCCATTTTTGTCACCTACCTGTTTGAATTCTCCTTCTTGGACTGTAATTTCTGGAACAGTCTACAAACTGAACCATCACACTGTGACTGCTTTATTTCTTTGTTACAGTAGCAGTCTGTCAACAGTGAGAGGAACCAAAGAGAAAGAAAGTCACCTCCATGTTTGTGCCCTCTGAGTTTCCTCTGGTCCTCAAACCTGTGGAACAAACAAAGGATGTTCCTCTGTTAGAGGGAGCAATCATTCAAAGTGCACGTGAGGCTGGAGGACAACAGTAAAGCAGGGGTAACAGTTATGCTGTGAAACCTTTAAATGTCATCCAGTTGAATAAATAGCGACTGTTGACTCGTTGTGTAAAAAGCATTGAAAACTGTGTCCAGTGTTTCTTTTTTGTATACTGTGGGATGTGGATGCTACCTCCTGCTGAAATCTGCTGAATTAATAAACTGTATTTCATTGCAGCTCTTTTTTAAATTGAACATATGTAACTAATGTGAACATTTGAAAATAATTTTTGTGTCTGTGACACATTGTGAATATGCTGGAAACATAACCTCTGTATTTGCTGTGCTTGCACCATGTGAGGATGAAGACTATCAGAACCAACAGCCCGATGGTGCAGGTGGTTATCAGCCAGTGTTTTGTGGAGAATCTGTCAGGGTCTAAAGTGAGACAATAGAAGGTGAGTCATTAAAAACAATATTAGACTCTGGCTGGTGCTGAGGGTCCACCCCTTTACAAAATATGCAGAAACACACACACCGATGACGGTGATGGAGGCCTGGGCGGTAACCTTGTCCACATCCGTGATGACCTCACAGGAATATTCAGCGGTGTCGTGTAATTGGACGTCCGTTACTCTGAGCGTACCGTTGTCAAAGATCATGTACCTACACACAGACGGAGAAGCACACGTGTACAACCCAAATCCAGAAATGTTGATGTTGACTTTGATGGCAACAACACGGAGATGTTAGAACAGACGAAAGAGCGAAAGTGGGAGGAACATGTTGCATCTCATTGGGTTAACTGCCAGCAGGTCGGTAACATGGCTCGGTACAAATAAGAGCTTCTTTGAAAGGCAGAGTTTCTCAGGGATTGTGATTATAAAAACGAAGCATCGGCAGAGCCGTGCCGTTTCACAACAGTGACTGTTGGTGACACCTGAAAGTGCCCGGAAACAAAAAATCTGCAATTTCTCTAAGAGTGACTACTGAGGCTAAAAGTAATTGCACAAACTAACAGATTTTGAAGGATTTAGCTGAATACTTGGATGAAAATAATCTGACGTTTGAACCACACTAAATGCTGCTTCCTCTCTGGAGATGCTCTCCTTCACTTTCCTGCAGCTGCCTTCAGCTGCTGCTTGTTTGTGGCTCGCTCTGTCTTCAGTTTTTTTCTGTTGAACAGAAATCAGGTAACTGGCTCAGCCGCTTGAAACTTTGTGTCACTTTTGGATGTGAAGCTCTGTGCAGTCAGTTTTGACAGAATCTGAGCCGAGTATTTACACAGCAACGTGTTCAGAATGTTCTGAGAATGGACAGAAACATAGCGAGTGTGTGCTTTTGTTTACTTTTTATCGACACTAGACTCTGATAGTTTCCGGTCGCCTTGCCTCCAGACCACCTGGTAACTGCTCAGCCGAGGATCTACAGCGAAACAACAGTCCAGGAGGACGCTGGTACCTCGGAGGGCGCGAACGTCCTGGGGACCCGTCAGGATCACCGTTCGATCTGAAAGTAACAGAGAAGTTACGACAGAGTGTTTTTAGCATCTGCTAACAAAGTTTTTCTGTAAAGGCTGCAGTGCTGAGTTGTAATTCAAACTGAAGGTTTGTTTTTTGTGGACAACTTAAAAAACAAAAAACACAAGTACAGATTTTTTTATTAATCCAGGAGAAGGTTGAGGCCAAACAAGTCAGCGCTTGATAAGAATATTTATGGGGGCCAGTTTAGCTCACTGGTTGAGCAGGTGTCCATACGCCTTATTTCTGAAGGCTGTGAGTCTGATGTGTGGTGCTTTGGTGCTGCTCTTTACTGCTCAACTGTTAAATAAAGGCAAAAGCCCAAATATAAATCTTTAAAAATTAATAACAATAGCATAATTCCATCTTTTCCTCGGGACCACAGTCAGAGGAATGGACATGTTTATTTAAGCTAACGCTATAAACCCACACCATCTTCAGCTGTCACAGGTGGTGACACACACACACACACACACACACACACACACACCTTTTCTGTGTTTTTAATGTTTTTTTTAATGTCCAGAAACTTTTCGTGGTTTCTCACACATAAAATATAAAACACTCAGGCTGTTCAGCAGCAAAACATTACAATCTGGCACAGACAACATGTATGTGACTCACTGAAGACTTGCAGCTCAACAGTGATGGAGATGTTAACGTTTTCTATAGAGCAGGTGTACAGTCCGCTGTCATTGTGGCTGACACTGGACAGTTTGATTTTCCCGCTGGGCTCCAAAGACACACGAGGGTCTGACAGCAAGTCCTGACGCTTCCTGGAGGCAGCACAGTGGATGATCCCGCCATCAAACACTAACTACAGAACACAGACTCAGTTCATAATAGAATAATAGAGACATTGTTGCACCACATGAGGGCACCGCTGCATCTATAAAACTGTGTGTGAAGGTTCTCAGCCATCCAGCTCATCGGAGGAACTCAGAAAGAAAAGCGTCTGGACTTCTTTAAGTTTCTTAAAGATGTTTCATCTGAGAAATTTCAGCTCTAAGAGCAACTGGTGGACAGTCCCAGATTTAAAGCCCAATGAGATGATCCTCTACCTAATCACACGAGCCAAGTTGTGAAAATGCGTGTAGGTCACAATCAGCCAATGTTTCAGGTGAACCCACTGTGAGACTTAGCTCCACCCTATCATGTGACTCCCTGAGGTCAAACGGCCCAGGATGTGATGGCAGACTGCTGGTGTCTATTCAAAGATCTATAAAACTGATGATTTGAAACTGGGAAGTTTCCCAAACGAACAGAGAGATGATCCTGCTAACATCTGTTTTGTTAGTATTTAAACCCTCACTCTGTCAGTCCACGTATCACTAAGTCTAAAGTCTAAAAATGATGAAAATGGACGAATGAATCGAACCGCTCCTTTCCTGCACGATAAATTGCATTAGCATCATAACTGTAGCGTTGCCGCTTGCTGATTTGAACATACTCAATCATTAAAAATTCGTAACAGTAAAGTGGTTTCAAGCATATACCAGTATTACCATATGATGTGAAGTGGTGGGAAGCCAGAACATTCACAGGGAAGCGTGATGTCATCGCCATCAACAGCCTTACAGATGACCCCGTCAGGGAAACAAGAGAGGTCTGAGAGAGGGAGACCATCATTACTAATCACAGATTAGACAGAACAAAGAGCTTGAAGATGAAATGAGTCGACATGAAACACACCAATGACATAAAGGAAGGCATTGATGACGATGGAGCCGTGCACATTAGTGGCTTCACATTGATACACGGCTGTGTCTTCGATAGTCACGTCTCTCAGTATCACCAACCCGCCCGCTACACTGCGCCGAGGCTCTTCATCCACTTCTACGGGGAGGAAGTGAAGAATAGGTCAATAATGTGAGTTTCTCACACAAAAATATTTCACAGATAAACTGTGGTCTAGTTAGATAAGCAGCAGCTGGTCTGGGGTCCTCCCTCACTTCCTCCGCTGAGAGCTTATGAATTATTATTTTAGGACCTGAAACTTAGCAACACAGGCACCAGGTCGAAAGAGGACAGACATGTATTTTGGAAACTGTTTTTCTTTATAAGACAATACAATCAGATTCAAAGCGCAGCGAGAGGAGGTTTCACTGATCTGGGGATCTGTAGTAACTGAAACAGAGTAGTTTGTTCACATGTTTGGACCCAGGTCATAAACTGCAAACATTAAAGAAGGATTGACACCAAAATGTTTATAAACGCTTGTTTTATTTATTTAATATTGAACCTAAATCACAATTCATTTAGAGAAATGAAGCCCCACATTTCTCTCACACAAACCTTTTAAGCAATCACTTTGCTCATCAAGGACTTCGTTCTATGGCAACACTTCAAAATACCAAAAAAGTCACTTGTTGTACCTGTGAACAGCTGACCGTTGATCCTCCAGGTGATGCTGGGCCTCGGGATGCCGTCCGCCTGACAGTCCAGTCTCACAGTTTTACCCAGAGTGTACATCCCGTTCTGGGGCTCCTTCACCCAGTAAGGAGCCGCTGGAAAAAGAAGCAAACATTTAGTTTGATTACTTTAGGAAAGTAATACAATAGAAGAAACACATGCAGGAAATGCATCCTACAATTCTCAAAGTGCATTTTGAGAATTGTAGATCCATTGTTATGGATTATTGTTACGTAGATGACAATATCTCGGCTTCTTCCCAGTTTTGAAACTGTTTTGTTAAAACCTGCACCCCTTAACATGGAAATCACTTCTTCACGTTCAGCAGAGCATCATAACCAGACTTGTTTGTTGCTGTGCGCTCAGGTCAGCGGCCTACCTTCCACAGTGACTGTGAAAAAGTGTGTGGTGGAGCCGTGGGTGTTGGAGGCTTTGCATTCGTACTCGCCAACATCATCCAGGGTGATGCTGTCGAAGTAAAGCCAGCGGTCAAAGTTAATAACATGAGCAGCTGTGTTTGCCAGGACAGCATCCTTCTTCTTCCATTCCACCTGAGGAGTTGGCCTGTAGAGTCAGAAAAATATCAGAAGAACAGAGAAAGAAAAGTGTGACTGAGACAGAAGTGAAGACAGAGGTAAAGATTTGGACGAACACAGAGACAAACACAAGAGGAAATTAGAGCTGAATGAACAGAGACTGCCCTTAGATTGATGTAATACACTTGGCTCGTTGGTGTAGTGGTTAACACAAATGCCCAGCAGGTTTGCATCGCCCATTCACACATATGTGGTGACCACGTGTGAATATGGGAGCAGCAACGAAACAGGACAGATTAACAAGGATTAGTAGGAAGTTTGTCTGTGTGTGGGCGTAAAGTCTAAAGATAACGGAGAATCTTTTTATTTTTATTAATTTTTTAATTATTTTTGAATAAAACCAGAAATCAGATATTACAGAAACCGCAAAATCAAAAACCAAGACCGTTCACCCAGTTACAGACGATGGTTGTCGGGTTCCTACTGGGGCTGGGTATCGTCACTGATTTCTAGAATCGATTCGATTCGATTTGATTTGAATCGGGGAAATTTTGCCTCAGACAGTCAGGAATATTATAATTCTGATCACTTATCAGTACATATCTATATTTTTCTATCTATAAAAAGGAAGCTGACACTTGCCAGACTTAATCAAAGGTGTTAGCAGCACAGCAGACGCCTTTGTGTTAAAGTAACTGAGGATAAAACAGAAAAACATGAAGGAGATTTTCCTGGTCTGTGTTTTTATAGCAGATGACCTTAAAAATATTGTCAAAAACGAAGTGAAGCAGAGCAAAGTTACAGAGGTTTGATTAGAGACAAAGCTCAGCGTTTTGCAGTTTTGCAAACTTTAAAAAGTTTCAATTTGTTCAGTATCGAACAGCAGAAATGAGGCTTTCTGTCGGAAGTAAGTAAAAAACAAAAAAATCCAACAGCGGCCGACAGTGTAGATGGTGGGCAATAAGGGTGGGCTCTGATTATTGATTTAGAGAGAGAGAGAGAGAGAGAGCTCTACATGAGTGTGATCGTGGTGGAAGCAAAACAGCCAAAGTCAGAGGAAATTCATGACGATGTTCATGTGAAGCGTAGTTTGGATCGTCTTTGGCTGCTGGTTCGGTCAATATTGTTTGCAGCTTCAGAATCAGCGCAAAAAGGACGTAAACACAAAGCGACGCTTCAAAATCAGCGAGCTGTCGGCTTTCAGCCCCGACGGCGTGACCGCGTCCGTGCCGTCGGGTGAGAAAGGCGACAGCTCGCTGATTCTGATGCGTTGGGTCGGCGCTTTGTGTTTACGTCTTTGTGCAGAGACCGTGTTCCTGCTCTCATTTACTGCTTCAGCTGTTTGGTGGTTGTTGAAATTTTGTTTTAACCTGAAGCTTTAACCTGAGTTCTGGCGTTTCAGGCAAAATAAATTTATATTAAAAAATCGATTCAGGATTTTAATGAATCAATATCACGTTATCCAAGTCAGAATCGATTTTAATCGATAAATCGATAAGCAAAATCCAGCCCTAGTTCCTACCCTGGAGCCAGGCCCAGGATGGGGGCTCCAGTCATTAGCTCATGGGGCCTTGGTTGGCCTAGACTGAAAGGGCCCCATGAGTCTGCCCTCCTGTGGGTTAGCGGCTGCAGGAGGAGCTGCAGAAGTTTGATGCATCATAGATCGGGTGGTATGGGCGAGACTCAGGCAGCCTCATACTCTGCAGATAGAACTGGCTATAATGGCGTAGCTCATCATCATCACCTGAGCTAGTGGGTGAGGTTGGGAGATATTAACTAAATATTGTTGGCTCAACTCAACTTACAGCTTAGATTCAACAACCAGCCTCCTGGAAAAGGGCTGGACTCCACCTGGTGACCACCTGTGGTCCCATTTTTATCACCACAGATTAGTGACGTAAGTAAACCGTGTCAGGCTGACATGGATGACACATGTGCTGCATGTACACAAGCACACGAACACAGATACTTACAAGCCACTGGGCAAACATTCAAGTGTGACACTGTGACCCCTCAGGGCCATAACTCTGGAGAGATTGCCAGCAGGATGGAAGAGTTCGGGTTTCCTGCCAAGAAGAACATCTCCTAGGCAAAGTGAAATGAAAATGAGGTCAGTGTACATGATCTTGTAAAGTTTGCACACACAACATTTTGCAAACAACCTCGTTGTGTCTGGTAGGTTAAGTTATTAAATAAAACTTTGTATTGACAGTGTGTTCCTGGATGTATGGTTGGCACACACATCACCAGAGTGTGACTGAAGGTGTTTCAATTATTGGTTGAAGAAATCAATGGGCACTTTGTGAAATTTACCAGTTCAACTGATCATTACAGCAAGTATCTAAATAGCCATTTAATGCATTTACAACCTTCTGAAGTTCTGTGAAGAATTGGGGAGAAAGGTGATTTAAGTAACTTTAACCGGGCTGCTCTGAGTATTTTAGAAACAGCTGATCTTTAGGGTTTACTAAGAATGGAAGAAAAAGAGAAGTGAGCAGTTCTCTGGGTCAAAGTTCATTCTCTTCATCTGGATGCAGCATTTTCAGTGGGACAGACATTTCATCCTTCATCCTAGTGACCTCTGCATCTGACTGGCCTCCTCAGCTTTATAAACAGTACAGAGACCAAAACTAACACCATTGTCTAACACTGAGCCACAAGTTCAGTTTCATGATTGTTCATGAGAAAACTGCCATGATAATTAGGCAGTTGTGTAGAGTTTGGCTGTGAAGTGTTTTACGTGTGCGCTCGCTCGGCTTGACAGAGAGGGAGACAGCAGTGGCAGGTAGAATAGTCCTGGCCTCTCTGTACTGGGCGTGGCAGATGTAGTCCTCTCTGCTGTCACTCCTCATGAGGTTTGCGAAGTACAGCTTCCCGTCCAGGCCGATCGTCACTCTCTCACTCCGAGTAATGTGCATCAAATCTGAGCCGGGACGGGGACAGTTTAATGTAGGTGGGAAATAAAGCATGGAAACTGCAGTGGAAGGTGAAAATGTTTTTCATGTCAGTGCAAAATGAAATTGGTTAGTTTGCTCTTCAAATGCACAATAAGCACCTCGCTTTATTGCACCGCAGCCTCAATAAGCTGATAACTGAAAAGGCAGAGAAGGTCAGTCATAGAAAAATGGAGGAGAGTGGACATAAAGAGTCTGTGTGTCACAGAGGCAGGCAGCTGATGAACGGCACACTCACTTATGTTCATCCAGTGGATGTTGGGAGGAGGCGAGCTTTTTGGAGGGTTGCAGGACAGGACCATACTCTGTCCCACGAGTCCTTGCTCACGCTCGACTTGTTGTTTCATGAGAACTGGCTCAGCTGAAACACAAAGCAGCAGAATACCAGTTAATGGGGTTTGGGGGAAGGCTGCTAGTGAGTCATGAGCGAGTGAAGCTGTTATGTGCTGGACTGTCTCAGGGGCGTGCATCCAGATCAGACTGGATTTATACCCCAGAGAAATTCATTTTGAAATCTAAGGTGACTATTTAATAATATTTACTCCACTGCCAGACCTAATGAAGAGTTAGCAGTTTTGGCACCTGACACCGAGAAGGCAGATTGACTGGCCCTATTTGTTCAAAATATTGGAAAGATTTAAATACGTAAAGATCCAAACTATTGTTGTCACAACTACTAATAAAAATGACACTCTACGCGCATAATGTGCTATTATATATCACCCAGCCATGAAAGACTATTCCTGCCATATTAGACAAAAGTAAGTTATTTGGGTCTTTCTCTGGATAAATCTGAATAAAGGTGAACGAATGCCTCTGTGTGTGAGTAACCCATCGTGGCTACAAAACCTCCCATTCAGTATAGCTTATGCGAAGCTCATATCTGGGTATTCAGGTTACATAATGCTATTCCTCTTTATGAAAATCGAACTTCTCTCCTATTATCCGAGCTTCAGTGAAGTATCTGTGAGAAATGCTCCGTAGCTGAAGATACGTTAAGCCACAGTTTTGTTTTTTGTCCCAAAGTTAAAGAATATTGGGCCGACATCTTCGATTCAGTGCCTTTCTTCGTGTGCAGTGGAACTCTGATCCACTAACAATTATTCTGGGCATCTTTGATGATACTCTGGGAGCAGACAGTGCAAAGCGATGTTTTATATCTGATTGTATTATTATTGCAAAGAAACTTATTCTCACTCACTGGAAGGAGAGAGATGCAGCCCCTTAAAGTCAGAGCTTTAAGAGGGGTGAGATTTTAGCGAGTCCCATGGCACGCTGACCGCAGCCATGGGAAACAGAGTGCGCACCGTCGGCTGCATCCTCCACACCCACCGTACATCCTCCCTACTGAGTGACGTCACGGCGCTGTCTCCGGGAAATGGTTGCCGTGGCAACTTGAGATGAGCGAGCAGAACAGGTGGCCCCGCTCAACCTCACTGACTCACTGATGTGTGTGTGTGATTTTATATGATCGTGTGACATCTGTGCATCAGCAGGTGTGAACCTCAGAGCGCACTGACTGCCTTTGTGTGCTTACAGTAAGTTTGTGACTCACGCTCTACGTTGACTTTGACGGTTTGTGTCATGGCGGTGCCCAGACTGTTGGAGGCGTAGCAGCGGTATTCACCCTCTAACATATCCAGGGAAGAATTGTCGCCTCTCAGCGTTCCGGATCCTTCGGTCTCAGATCCGAACAACTCGCCATCTTTCAGCCAACGGAATCTATGAGCACAGAGGGGAGAACGGCTGTCAGCACATCAACAGTTTACAAAGTCACAGAAACAAACCTTAAATCACACAATGAAGAAAACAGCTTCTATTTATTTGTGAGCTATTTTGAAGGATCTACATTTTCATTATAAAGCAGCGAGTCTTTATCTTTGGATCAAAGCCGGAAACAGGTTCATGTAAAATTTTCAGCCTTTTGATTGACGGCCTGAAATACAGAAATATGAGGAAGTGTAACATTTACAGCTGCTATTATTACTTTTCACAGTCAGTCTCCCCGAGAGAAGCACACACACACACACACACACACACACACACACACACACACACACACACACACACACACAGGTGTACGTACGTGGGTGTCGGGTTCCCGGTGGCCTCACAGGCCAGATTGAAGTCTTCTAGAGAAAACACTGTGTGTGATTTTGGCATCTCTGTCAGCACTGGAGGCTGAAATACTGAAGACACACACACACACACACACACACACACACACACACACACACACACACACACACACACACACACACACACACACAAGGCTGATTATTATTATTATCATTATTTCTGCCAGTCTCGCAGTAAAACTGCAAACTGACATTTCCAGTAGAAGTTGAATATTAAATGTCACACTTCATTCTTTAAATCCATCAAAATATTACTTGGATATTATTTAATATGTCATTAATAAGTCTTTTATTTTTAATTTAACCAGTTTTTGGTCGTCCATAAATCTCATCTTATCATCTGTTTAGCTTGAAGGAAAGAGTCACTGCCACTTTTAACTTTTCAGAGCATCGTGAGGTGAGACGAGCTCGTGGGAACATTCCCAGATATGTAACTGAAGTCATTTATGAATGTTTGCTCTTCTGCACAGCTCCAGAGGTTTATGGGTATTGCAGTATTTTAGAGCCACCACTCTGTGCCATGAATTATTACTGTACATAGACTACATAGAGCTGCTGCTCAGGCAGAATAAGTAAGAAATTAAATGGAAATACAGAATGTGGAAGAACAGAACCAGCCCTCCCTTACTGCTACTTTATATAATATATAATTTATAAATATATTATTACATTTCACACATACGTGCATTTATCCAGTGTGAGACGCTTGCTGTGAAAGAGTGAGGACTCACAGTTTTCGGGGATGTGCTGTTCTCCCTGAGTGAATGGAAACATGAGGGAGAGGAAGGACAGAGGGAGGAGGATCAGAGGGAGGGCAGGGGTGCACTGCCCCCTACAGTCCATTAACTGATACTGTGACACACACATGTCCCAATGCCCCATCAAAAACAGAGGCCGCACACACACAAAAGGAGACACTCCAAGGAGCAAACAGCAGTAAGGTGTTGGTGGCGTCACGCTGCAGATCTCAGTGACACTTCCTTCTTGTTTG